GTCATTTAGAGCAACTTGCAAACCCCAAACCGCCCACTCTGCCTTCCCCTGCTCCCACAGCCGCCGGGATAAATCCAGGCTAACCCAGCCGGTCTCAGCAGAGATCTGTCACTCTGAAAGACACCAGCGCAAGCCACAGATTTTCTAACTTCGGTTTGGATGAAACCCCAGGACTCGTTCATCGTATCTCAGGGTATTTAGCGTTGACTTTAATTAAAAACCTCCTCGTGCCAAACCACATGCAGATGCAAACTGACGCCCTCAGCGTCTGCAGCGCATTGCCCAAAAAAACTGCACGGTTCCGTTTACATTTGAAGTAGATGCGTGAAGTAGGGACCTGCCTCTAAAATTTCCTCTTGTTCTGCAAACTCTCTCTGCACTGCCCCAAATTACCACAGTGCAAAAAACCCACAGTCAAACCAATATATTCTTGGGAAGGAAGGGGGGGGGCTGGTACAGTGGTTTTTGAAGGCAAGCCAGAGAATATTCAAAACGGGGAACAACACAGCCTGTTTTAACTGCTGTGATAATTCTGCATAAAGAGATGTTAGGGCTCGAGCTCCTTGCTGTAGCATGCCATGTGTCCCTGAATAAAATTACTGCCATGCAGGCTGTTAGCAGAGGAATGCGTAAACAGACAATGTATCCTTGCATCAGTTCCACAAAATGTTGCACAACACAAATGCCTCTCGATGTGTCATTTCCTGCTTGGCCACCAGCCCAGCTCCTGACAGGCAGTCAACAAAAAAAAAAAAAAAAAAAAAGAAAAAAAAAAAAGAGAAAAAAGCAAGAAAAGGAAAAAAAAAAAGAGAAAAAAAAAGAAGAAAAAAAGAAAAGTCAAAAAAACCCCTCCAAAGCAGCTTTTACTCGCTGTGTAAGCGTCCTCCAGCCCCACCCCCGCCGCCCCAGACTTCTCCCTCCACCCACTCTGCCTTTGAAAGAAAAGAGGGAGAACTTCCTAAAAACTGTTATGGTTTTAAGTCGAGGAATCTCAAAAATCTCAATCACTTATCTGCGTTTTATAAGCCGGGTCAGGCAAACAGTTAATGCAGAGGCTGAGCAGAACCCCTGGCTGGCTTTTGCTGCCTTCCGCAGCGTGCACAGACAAAAAGGCGATGTGGTGTTTGCTCATACCTTTCATCACGTGTGCACCTTGCAAGCTGTGGCAGCAGAGAAATATTCGAGAGCTGAATGAAACAGAGCAGTTTTCTCCCCTGAAACGCTTCAGCTCAAAGCTCAGAAGCACTTTTCCATTCACACTGATAAAGAAAATTGGGGTGGGTGACTTTAGAGCCTACCTTTAATCAGAGATGAGCTAAAGCCTTTGGGAGTCAGGCAAAATATAAAAATATAGACTTCTCCTCCCTCCTTCCTCATGATTTCCCTCCTGGCTGGGTTTGCCCCAAAAACAGACAGAAAGGAGGATGTGTCTCCTATTCACTATGGAAGGGCAAATCATTATTTCTGTGGTTGTAATGAGGTAAGACAAAGGCATTAAAGGGTGTCTTAGGTAAAGATTTTAGGTGGCTTTTTGTTCTGGTTTTTTTCTTCCTTTACTTCCTTTACAGTAATCTCTGGCTATCTGTCCGTCAGTTATGACCTCATGACAACTTCTCCGGAAAACTTCTTTCAGCCCTCCCAGCTGGAAGGCAGCTCTGTTGGCTAAGATGTGCATATGGCAGAGGTTTTATCCTGGATATGAGGAGAGAAAAATATCTGCAGGATTTCCTAATGATTCCCAAAGATCTTATACAACCCTGTCTCTAGACTCCATCACTCAGAGTGCAATACTCTGCCTCAGTACAGCACAGAGACTGTGCAACACAGTAGATGTCCCTGGATAGTAATCTAGATAGACTGGAAGAGATTTAAGTAAAATTAAATAAATCTTTTCTAAGAAAAAAAATCATCAGAAGACCTTTTCTCATATAGCAATGGGCAAGTTTTCCTAACAGAGCAACCTGGCATCACTGTCTCTATTAAAATATTTTAAAATAATAACAGAGAGGCAAGGCAGCAAGCTTCTACAAGCAGATGTTTAATACGACTAAATGGCACTTACATTTAAGAACCCAACTTTCTGAAGTGCTGAGCATCCAAAACACCAACCGGAGTCCCTGCATGCCACGACTGTTCAGCACCCTTGAAGTGAGGCTCTAAATGACTGTGATATCTGTCATGGCATTGCTGCTACTCCTACTGCTGCTGGGAATCTCGCAGCGTTCGCTCACTCAAGTCAACTTGCCAAGAGAAGGTCAGGGTGCCTTGCCTATAAACAAGCCTTACAAATTCACGATCTAAAGCATGATGTCATGTCTTAAAATGATAAGCTGGCAACAGAGTAAATGACATTTTGTAAAGATGTGCATAATTTTATGTTTACGCTCCTTAGAATGAAGGTTCTAATAAGTCATCAGTTGTGTTCCTTTAAAGGGAAGTTTTATAACTGAGATGAATCACAACTGCAAAAGATCAAAGTTAAAAAACATCAATGATGCCATGGGGTACTTTTTAATCTTGTAATGAATGATGATCATGTGCTCTTATGAAGTTGCTCCAACTGCCAACGCCAGATGTGTATATTAAGAAAAAAGTTGTTTGTGATGTGACAGCTCTGGTTGAGCTGCCAGAGAGAGGAAAACTAGGATAACATGCTTGAGATGTTGAAGTGAAATACAGATCCTGGCAGAGAGGGGCACTATTTACCGATACATAGTTTGTTAAGACAAACATTTTTGCTATCAGAGCCACTCCTTGAATTCCTTATTGCCCCCAGCCACCTAATTTTCCTTAAGCAACATAAATGCCAGATACGCTCCTCAAATGGTTATTACCAAACAGTAATAAATCTACACAAATGCAGGGGTTCTAAGAAGGAAGTAGAACTTTGGTCAAACTCCCACAGCTCTCTGGAGCTACTCTTTACCTACAAATTCAAGTTTGATAATGAATCATTCTGGAGTTGTCATAGCCTTGAAAGTATCAGACTGCAGTGACAGAAGCTGCAGAATCCAACTGACTCTAGAGTAGAGCTCCACTAAGTATTTTGCTGAAACATTAAGATTCAAATGGACACTCAAGCTCAAAATTTACTTTCTTACAAATTAAAAAAAAATAAATAAAAAAATATAAGAAAGGCACTAGCTCAGTTACTGAGCATTGCTAGGTTCAGCTATTCAATGGGAACAGCAACAGGTATCATGTACAGAGGCCTTTCAGGTGTAAACTAAAAAACTACAGTAGAACTTGGAGTTCTTATCTTGGTAAGTTCTTTGGATACAGCCTCTCTTTCAATCCACTGATCACCAGAACACTTAGTCCCCATGCCAGCAGGTTCCCTTCCTGTGCTACACAGGTTAATCCACGCTACTCTCCACACCACTTTCAAACCTCTCTGCTCTTTCATAGTGGTTTTGTCCTCTGCTGGGAGACCACCTCTTTTGTAGTGCCTCCTACATGGAAGCAGCCTCCAAAGGAGAACTGCTAAATAACTTATTCCCCGCTTTTTACTCCATGAATGCAGCTTCTCCAGTGTCCCCCAAGTAAGCTACACAGAGGAACAACTGCAAGTGAAAATTGAAAATGGGAACTGATTCAGCTCGGAGAGAAGACAGAACGAAAATCCCCCTTTTGTGACATCCGGACACCTCAGCTGTGAGCAGGTAGCAACACAAGGATCTACGTAATGAAACTTTTTCATAGCTACTTGCTTTTTCTTAGCTGTTATTCAAGACGAAACTCTACAGCCTGGGCAGTTCTTACAGGAGGCATTTCAGTTCTGTCTCTATGAAAGAGGAGGTGACGCTGCAGCGTGTATTAGCACGAGAAACACTTAACTGCATGAATTCTGTCTACGTCTTTCTACTTCTGTCTTTGTGGTATTTTAAACAAAACACCATGAAAGCTCCTTGAAGGTCTCGTTTGTATGTGCAGATCAAAGGTAAAATAATTATTTGAGATGCTTCCATTATAGGGATGCTTTTAATGTGGTTATTCATCAAATAATTCTTAATCTCTAAGTGTAATTTAAATAACGCTATACCTGATTAATCCAATCAATTTAGAAAGAGTCATTCTAGTCAGATTAAGAAAAAACTCCAGAACTGGCTCATCAGTGATACCCATAAGATGTGGGATCGGTTACCAGCTAAATGTGCTAGACAGAGAGACAGCCAGATAAATCCTGGTGGATTAACCAGGCTTGACTGCATCTAAAAATAAGTGCTACCCATAAAACTGCTCAAACATGACAAAACACAATTGTCATAAAAATACAGCCATTGCAAAATAGATAAATCATTGCAAATATGTTCTTAGTAAGTTTGCAAGGCTATGAGATAAATGTGCTAAGTGAAAATCTGCTGGACCATGTTTAAATAAAATAAACTTTCTGTGTACAAATAAGAAACAAAGACCATGCTGATACGCTGCTTTTTTTTAATCTTTCTTTGGCCCCTCAGGGTCTACGATGAGTCCATAGCTGAAAACCAATTTCAGGTATGATGAGATTAACCAGGTGCATTAATTATCTGATGGCAAAAGAATTTAAGGGCAAACAAAAAGGCGCTATATTATATATTTTCTCTCTGCACTAGGATTGATCCTGAAAGATCAGGCTCCTGTTTTGTTCTAAACGTTTTCACTTGGAAGCTTACAGGAGTTCAGGGAATCCAGCACGTTGCAGGATTGTATCTATTATGCCTAAATCAGATTACATATAAATACAGTGGGTTTAGTTCTCATTTGCACTGGCAGATAATGTATCAAGACCTTGATGTGAATGAGAATCAGGTTTGGGATTGCCCAAATTCAGCCAAGCACTTAAGTGTGTGTTTAATGCAAGTATGTGTGTGGTCCAATAGACTCCAAATTAAGCATGCACTCACATATTTTGCTGAGCAAGAACCAAAGTCTGACAAAGATATACGTATTTCATTTATGGGTCTCTTTTAAGCAAAATTAAGCAGACATAAGAGAGAAAACAAGAAGATAATACTCACTTCTAGGCTCTCTTGGCCCATCCACTGTAACCTTTATAGCTCTGTGGTATGTAGCGACTTGGGGGGGATTTGTCAGGACAGTTATTGTCAAAGTAAAGCTCTTCCCTACAAAGGGAAAAAAACAACAAGGAATGAGTGATTACAACATGAAAACAGTCACATGCATGTTCAGTAAAGAATCAGAGACGCTTAAAATTATTCCCTGTCGTTACCACAATCGTGAAAATTAAAAACATAACTGACCATAGGAGTTTTCCTCCCCTTCGGTTTTACTCTATGTCAAGAATACGTCCATGTGTTGACAATCTAAATGTTTCTTATTTAATAATGGGTCATCATACAATGACAGAACAAAAGTGATTCACTGCTGAGGACAAGCCAAATTCTTTGCTGTATTGAAAGTGGTGTAAATCCAAAGCAAGTCAGATAATTTAAAAATTTACTCCAGTTTCACAGCTGTGTGACAGAGAGCAGAATGTGACCACATGTTATTTACTTCACACAGTTTTATCATTTCATTTGTTTGACTTGACTACAATAAGATGAGGAAAGAATATATTTTCCTCCTGGGAGATATTTTAACAGCGAATCAGTGTCTCCTGTCCTTCATATGCCAGGGCTAATATGATGATATCATTATTACTGGAACACACCTTTTTTTCCCTATATATATTCCATCTATGAAATCCTAAGAAAGCTCCCAGCTTTCCCGTGAGGGTGAGAAATGTCTGTGTGCACGTACGTTACTATCGTCAGTCTGCATTGTTGGTTTTTGGTTTTTTTTAACTTTACAAAGCTCGAATTCAGGCAGAGATTGCACAAGATCATCCACAGACTCTTAACTGAATGAAAACGTTAAAAAGAAATAAATAAAGGGAGCTGCCTGCGTCTGAGCACACATTCTCACAGGCGCTGGCCCCTGTTTGGGAGACTCACTGACAGTTGTAATCTGTTAGATATGCAACGGTTAGTCATGTCAGATAGTCAAAACTGAAAACTGTTTCAAGACAGGAAAAGGTGGGCGTACAACAGTGACTCAATAAAACAGTCAGCAATCTTTGGCCTTCATGCTCATTTAAGCTGCTACTTTACCAGACACTTAAAACTCTTTCCCCTCCCACCCCCCCTCCCCTTCCCTGGGTGTATTTGTGCATTTTTGTTGCTAAGGCTTTTCCTCTTGCTGAACTCTGAAGGCATTCAATCAAGGCACAGATCTTAAACGATATGTAACAGTGCAAACTTAATGCAGTTTTTTCAAGCCTAATACAGAACAGCTTATATATAAGGCATAATACAGAACAGAGCTTTGGCTGTCAAATCTAGTAATTGGTCTTTCTTTCTGGTCCAAGTCGTATATCCCCCAAACCTGCCTGAGACATGCATCATTTATTATCAGGAGTGCAGCTTCAAACTGTCTTGGCTATAATTTTCGGGAACTAGAATGTGACATGGAATTCTTTTTAAAGGAAACATGACTGTCATTTAGAGTAAAATGATTTTCCAGGTGAAGCTGTGCTCCAGCTGTGCCCAGCTCTCTGGGAGATGCAGGTTAGAGGGATGGTCAGGACCCCAGAAAATAACAGCATTTTGGAATGGTTTGGGTTGGAAGGCATCTTAAAGATCATTTAGTTCCAACCCCCGTGCCATGGACAGGGACAACTTCCCCTAGACCACGTTGCTCCAAGCCCCATCCAGCCTGGCCCTGAACACTTCCAGGAATGGGGCAGCCACAGTTTCTCTGGGCAACCTGTTCCTGTGTCTTGCCACACTCACAGGGAAGAATTTCTTTCTCATGTCTAATCTAACCCTGCTCTTTTTCAGTTTAAGTGTGCAAAAATCTCAGGAGTCTGAACTTTGTCCAGTGGCCAGAGCTGAAGGTGGCTTTCCCCAGTTTCACTGGGAAAGGGATTATTTCTCAGATCATCACAGGAGGAGAGTTAGGTGTGTGTAGGATGTCCAGTCTTTGTCCAGTCTCGCCCATCTGCTGTCCCAGAGGTGAACTGTGTGTCCTGCCCTCATATGGTGGGTGTGTGGGCAGCAACAGCCCTGCTCAAGCACACAGTTCCTCCGTGCCTGCTTGTTTAGGGCTGAGGAGAGTCTATGCCTTTTATCCCTCTCCAAGGATGAATTCAGCCTACTACTTGGACATATATAATTCTCTAGGTACAGGTTTAAGGCTTCCTTTGGCACCAGCTTATCATGGCAAAAAGTTCTGACCATTAAATTTTATGCTGATGACACTCAGATTACAGCTACCTCTGGAAAATCAGTAGAATATTACTGGTAACAAAGATACTAAAGAGGCATTTCCATATACCTTTGAATGAAGAATTTGGCCTTCCATGCTACCATTCCCTTTATATGCCAAATCCATACAAAAGTCTATCATGACAGAAAGAATTAACTCAACGAAATATTATTTGTAAGATGCTGTAAAATCATTCTGTAGAAAAGCACTGCAAGGTTTTCTACACTAAATATAACTCAACAGGTTACAGTGGCCAGAAAAAAATGAGTTTCTTAATTTGAGGAGTTTGGACCTCAACAGTGAGAATTTCTGAACTGTCACCTCTTAGCCAGCCTAAGCTGAAGAGGTGAGCAGCTAATTTGAAAGAGAAACTGGTTTTGTTCCCTAACTGGTTTTTTACCAAACCAAAGTATGGATGTAGTAACACCAACGAAGCCCCCTCGCACTCCATAAACCACAGAGCACTTCATTGTGGGAAGCTGCACAGCCCTGCCAGCACACTCCAGAGCTTTCAAGAGATGATTTACATATTACAGGACTAAGAATGAAATAAATTTTTACTGTTCTTCACTGTTTCAGTGATGCTGATGCCTTCCACAGCTATTTCACAGATATCCCTCCTCGGCTACAAAATCCGTTAATGCACTTTTTATCACCTTTCTTTATTGCCCTTAGTCACTTCAACTATCCACTTTCAGAGGCTAAAGACTAATTGTAGTTCTCTTTTATTAAATTCCCCAGCCAAGCAGTCATCTGGCACTATTGCTTCAGTGTGTCTAAACTGTGCATTCTTTGTTATTCACACATGTGAGCTGAGCTGACACAGAGGAGGACGAGATGGACATATGCTGAAGCACAAGGCAAACCCCAGAAATGATCTTGAAAGGAGACTCAGCAGCTTGTGTGTGCGTGTTGCATATTTTTTCAGTTAGATGCTAATGTGATTAAAGTATCGGGACACAACAAAATTAAGGTTATGATCCTTTGCTTATTGAAGACAGGAATTCTTTCTTCTATGCGCTGTGGATCAGGCTTGTAAAAGTGAGCTACTGCCTGAAAACCACATACAACAACTGCTGCATTTGCATCAAACACTCTGGTTACTTATTCTTATGAATCCAAAAATGGCGTTTAGGAGAAATTATACAAACAGAAACGTGAAGCTTCTGTCAGGCAAGCAACATAAATATGTATAAAAATCGAGTTTCTCCATTGAGCCATGGGAAGCAAGTAAAAACGTGGGAGAGGAGGTGAAGTGGTAAGTTGATGATTCAGACTTCACAATCAAATCTAGAGATACAGAGATCAAAGCACGAGCTGCTTAGAAAGATGTAAATCTGAAGTCAGGAACAGGTGTGGATTAGTTTCTTGCCACCAGAAAAGGATTTCTTTATTACTTTATTTTTTCCTGTTCTGCTTCAAGACTTGTGTTTACCGATATTTGTCTATGTAAGGAGCTTTCTCACTTCTGTTTGCAACCACTGCTTTCTTTTCCTGGTATTTTAAGCAGAGTTCTAAAAATCTATCATTAATGATAACTCTTTCTCCTTCTCTCCTTCTCTCTCCTCTCTCTCTCCTTCTCCCCCTCTGTGTTCTAAGTCTGGAAGACAAGTCTGGACCAATTTCTCCATCCTGCCTCTGGCAGCAGAATGCAGCATTTCAGATCCTCCACCGAGTCCCGGCTGCTTCAAAGGAAAAGCCCTACTTTCTTCCGTTAAGATCATAAGAAATATAGGGGGAGGGGGTCAGCTCTGTTTGGACATAATTACACTTCATCAAAAGAAGCTTTCTTCATCTTCCATGCGTGAAAAGTCTGCAAGCAGTTAAGTCTGTCTTTTTTCTTCCTTTTTTTTTTTTTTTTAACTTTTCTTTTTTTTTTTTTTTTTTAAATATAAAAATTGCTATTTGGGAAACTGGCCAAAACTCAGAAAGCCAATATAGTAAAACAGTGCACACCCTTTGTTTTTCTTTGAAGTCTCTTAAATAAATATGTTGAGGGTTTGAAAAGTACACTATCACTTTTCCATAGATTCTACCCAGATTGATCAGAGAGAAAGTCTATTCCAAGTCTGCTAGATAAAAATATAAATTAAACTACTGGAACCAAATTTTAGGAGGTTTGTGTTTGTGTCTGTAGCTGTATCTACGGAGGCTTTAGGCCTTTATTTAATTTCCTATGCTTTAATAAAAAGTATATATCGTGGGTTTGAAATTAAATTCACAGATCAGAGGTAGTACATCACATTTCTGTCCTTTTTCAGCACTACTGAAAAACTGATACACCACTGAACTTCTACTGTAAGGCAGCAGTAGAGATGGAGCCAGAGAACTTTCAAACCTAGTCCATCAGCAGAATAACAAAGTAAACTGTTTTTCTAAAAGAAAGGAAGACAAATGGAAGAGATAGATAACTCCTTGTTCACAAGGGGAATAAACTCTGTATTTATACTGCATTACTGTTGCAAAAGTTATTCTGTCTTTCAAGTTATTCTTTATTACCAATACTTTGCAAGTTTTAAAATGATAAAGAGAATTTTGGGCCAGGCCACTAAAATAAAGAATAGTCACTGTAAGCCATGCTTATGGACTCACTCTCACAAAACGCTTGTAAAAATGTGCTGACAGATTTAGACTATCTGGGCCTCTGTCACATGTTTAATTTCTTTTTGGAAAAAAATTCGTTCCTTCTTTAAGATGAATTGCAACTGCTTTCTAAGGAATATTACTGTAAAATTAGCTTTATTGCTAATTTCCTAGCATAATTGTTCTGCTTCTGTTGCTTTGGTTTGCCCCATGCAGGGTTAGTTTAGAAAAATGAATAATTACTTCAAATACATAAAGGAAAAAAAATTGTGGGTTGAAACAATGACTGATACAACCAAACATTCTGAAGATTCATGCAGTAAGAACTGCAGTGCCAGCTTCCTTCAAGATATCCTTTCAATCACTACCTGAAGTTTGAAAGCAGCCATCAGACCCTTAAAGAGGAATTCTTGCAAACTTGCAATGATTACAAAGGCTTTCTGTAAGTACAGTGCCCTTTCCAGATTATAGGAAGCTCCTAAACAGCTGGAAGACAATGACAGCACTCTACAACTTCAGAAAAAAAATAAAATTGGAAGTTACCATGTCATATAAACGAAAGTTAACATTGAGTTCAAGCCCAAACTTACCAGCAATTCATAAAAACTCAACCAGCTTACTAAAAAGATTTTCACAGGGGTGATTTTCACAGGTTATCAGCAGTTTGATCGTAAAGGGCAGAGAAGTCACTAGTAAATTTTCCACCAATAGCTGTTAAGCCTTGAAAGATCTAAGTCCTTAAAGAATACAACCTATAGCACATGTGATATGCAAAATCCCCCTAATTACAAGTCTTCTACAACAACTTCAGAAGCAGCTTTACTGCTTAAGGGAATTCTCCACCTCTCACTGCCACGGACTGAGATACACTTTTTGACTCCACATAACCCAGATCACACATATGCCCTTCTCCTTCCACCCTTCCTGTGTGATTAAAACAGGAAAGCGGGTACTCTGTGAATCATTTTTCAAAACCTGTGTCTGATAAAAGACTACAGAGACATGAGGAGTCAGAAAAACTGAAGAAAACTCTTAACTTACTTTGTGAAAATGCTGAAGTTTGCCACCAAAACACATGTACGCCCCTCCAAATGAAAGGCTGACAACCTGAACAACCTGATCTAGTGGAAGGTGTCCCTGCCCATGGCAGAGGGTTGGAACTAGATGACCTTTAAGGTCCCTTACAACCCAAACTTTTCAATGATTCTATGAACAATGGATTTATGGATTAATCAGTATTTCATTGCAGAGTAAGCCTGACGTCCAGACATTGTTTTTCACTTCGTTATGGACACATAAAAGGCAGTGGCCTACCTCTTCCACTTCTGCCCACAAATCGTAAGTCATTAAATCTGGCCACCTGGTTCTTCATCACGGCAGACGCGTTTCGCAGCTCTGCAGAGTAATTCTCGTCGTTTCCAGCCATGACAGTGACCACTGTCCCATCGGGCACTTCTCCTAAGGCCACCACCTGTAAAAAGGGGAAGACAATCACAACTGGTGAAGCCACACTTTGGAAGCGTGTGTCTCCCTTCCAGCCTTCCAGGCTGCCACGCTCATTATGAGGCTCCGTGGCAGCTTCTCCAGCCCGCTGCGGTGAGGAGTCTTGCACTCGCTGCACACAGAACAAAGTGCCACATCAAACACAGAAACATCATGTATTGTCTCCCTTTCTCAGAGCCTAACAGGGAGTTTCTTCTTTGTTGCATTTCTTCAGAAACATTCAGTGTCCTTATACAGAGTGTTTGCTTTAATGCTTCCTGAAGGCCAACTTTGTTCTTAGCAACCAACGAGCAGCGAGAGAACACGAGGCATGGCTCGTATCCATAAATTATACATGGGAACATTTGAAATGGAAAGCTGGAAATTACTATTAGCAGCCTTATCACCCAGAATTGGTTCTACTTCTCTGTTGTTTACACCCATCACCCCACCCCCCGAGCTCCTCAGACTTCAAGCCAGAGAGAACCCTGCATCCACCCATCCCAGGAGTGGCACTCGGGGCATCAGTAGACAAAGCTCTACGCCCAGCACGCTCTGGGATGGAGCACTTTGTGGCTGGAATTCAAACTCTTCAGATGCAATATAAAACAAAGCTGTATTTCCTTGCAGGCATGTAAATTTTCATAGCGCTCGCAAGAGTCGCATGTGGTTAGTGCTGATACCTCCCTCAAATTCCAGGATGGGTGAACAGAAGATATCAAAGTATTTCACTTCTCCTTACGTTCCAGCTACCTGATAGTCTCACTTTTATGCTTCAGTGGTTAAGCAGTGCTCCAATATCTGAGTAGATAAATGTCACAGAGCAGACAGCTTCTAATTTGAAAACACCAGGGATTCCTACAGTGTACTGTGACTTTTTAAATTAAAAATAAAGGTAAACAGGAGTTAATTGACTAGGAAGAAAATATACACATGGGGAAAAAAAGTCCACAAAAGTATGAATAAAATAATTTCCTTTTCCCTGTTTATGGAAATAAATTTATAACAAAAAGAGATTCAGAAATATAGCATAGCCAAACTAAAACTTGAAAAAATATCTTGAGCTACAAAGTGTCTCCACTTGCAGCTTCTACCAGTTTATATGGTCAGATATGACTTCTTATATTATTCAGAGTAATTCATTCTGTCTCCGGAAACATATATTACATTTTGTGATACGGCCTGCTTGAAATATCTTTCCTATAAATGATCCTGGCTGAAACTAATAATTGCAGGTTGCATGGTGATATTAATTCAGTGGAAAGAATTAGGAGCTCTGGATATGCAGGGAGAGCATGTGGCCCAGTACACTGTACAGTGTTTCTCTCAAATGATAAAAACAAATTACAAAGGTATAAAAAATATAAAAATATTTGAAATAGACCATATTACTGAAAAGTACAGCTTGTCTTATTTAAAAGAAATATTGAATCGAAAAAAGCAAGCAAAGCTGAAAGTCTTTTTTTCCGTAAACACCAGGTAATACCACCCAAAACTGAAAACTGAGTTTTGCCACAAACTAGTGTGAGGTTTTCATCTATCAAACAGAGATTTTACTTTAAAGTGATATGAATGTCCCTCAACATAAAAACAGAGGAACCACTGCTGTGGGTAAGATCTGAGGTCTCACTAACTCTCTGACTTGGGTCTGGCAGCAACCAGATCTGACAGCTTCAAAGCCAGGTGTAAGGAATAATAAATAATAATCAAATAACAAATAATAATCTGCTGAACAGATTATAGAGCTGACTCTAACAGTTAATAAATGGATACTGGCTTTAAAGCATGGGGCTTGAGACTACTTATAAACCACTCCCTTCCCAGCCTGCGACACACCACGTTATCTCTGGACGGTCTTGTCTCGCCCATCAGCATCCCAGGGAGTTGCACCCTACGCTTTTTATATCTCACAAAACAACAACAAAAAAATCACATTAACTTCAGAAATGCAAAGAATCTGAGAGCTCAGGAGGAAGCACAAGGCCGCCAGGAGCCTCGGGAGAGGGAGCAAGATGCCTGCAGCCTCAGGTCACCCCTTTCTCCCCAGGTACCCAGAGCACATACAGGCAGTGCCATCACAGCTCCATCACAGCCCCAAACACAGTTACAGTCTATAACACCTGGACAGGAGGGAGCAAAACCTCTTAAAAAGCTCCCCTCTGTCCCCTGTTGCTTCTCAGAGTTTTCCTGCCTGCCCCTTCCACTGGATGTCAGTTCAATTTGTCAGCTTAGCCATCAGCCCAGAGCTGCACGTGCTGCTGCCACCGCCGGGCAATCGCACCTAATCGAGAGCTGCATCGGTACTGAGAGGCTTTGGATGCAGCATGATGCAATATCACTATTCATCTCACTCAGAGGAGACCGAACGACAAGACAAACTGAAATCAGAGGTGAAAATAAAATCTTTGGCTAATAAAATAAAATCCTATAGCATGGGAAGATCCCCTGCCAGCCAACAGGAGTAAAATGCGTGTTCCTTTCATAATTTGATACTTTTTTTGCCACAAAATACCAGAGGACTACTGCACAGGTACATAGTAGATCTGGATAGGAAAAAAAAGCTTTGCAAAACAAGTTTGAAACCTGGAGAAATACATGTCATTTTGAGAATTTTAAAAAGTAACTGTACCTGCTGAAAGACTGTTGGCATAAATCTTTATTTGGCAATTTTATACCATGTATCAATACAAAATTGATGACATATTCTTAGAAAGAGGATTGTAAATGCACTGTTAAATGAGTAAAGACTGTGTAAAAAATTAAAGATGAGAAGTGATGAGAAGCAGCCACAGTGCATTCCTTACCTATTCTTTGTCTCAGTGTCTCTACTATTTCAACACATTTATTTTCCATTATAAACTCTCTACACATTTCTAGGACTAAAGGTAGATTTTGCCTTTGCTTTTTTTTTTTTTTAAACCAAAGCTCAAAACGGTACATAAAGTCAAATGAAGTCCCAAAATAAAAGCAAACCAATTCTTACAAGTTGAAAATAACTATGTGTTTTTTGCATAACACAATTCTCATCTGGTTAGGCAACCTGTTTGCCCAGTTTCGGTCCAGTGGGATTTGAACTGGCCAAAGCATGTACCCTACAGACGGAAGTTATAGGCACAAAGCAAAACTAGAACACAACAGCAGGTACTCAGACTTTCTGCAGAGTAAAAAGCTTGTTTAAAAAACCCCCACCAATGTACATGCTAAATAGTTCCTCCCAAACATTGGTATCTGCCACTTCAACAACTTTCTTGCGAAACACTGAAGTCAAACTGCCTCTGAATGCAAAATCTTCTGTATTGAGAATGCTTTTTCCAGAGATTGCCAAAAGAGCATCTGATACTATTAAAAATATTTTAATGTTCTGTAAGTTAAAACAGAATAACTGATTCGCGCTACTTTTTGTTTCAAAATGTACATCTGGGCCGACAATTTATACAGCAGGTTTCAGCTTGAAGCTATTTAAAACAGCTGAGTTATAAACTCTGAAATTTGGGGTTTGGAGTGGAAATGCTGACAGACCCAGAACTACTGTGGTGCTACTGGGGAGAGGTTTTAGACTCCATGTCCTGTTTTTCCCCCTGCCTTTAGGTCCACTAAGACTCTTTGTTACTATTAGCATCGTACAGAAGTCACTTGTAACCTCTAACGTGGCAATTTGAATTTTTATGATTTGCAGTAAAATCTCCCACAGAGTGGCCAAGTTCTGATGACTTGACTCAAATAAAGTACCACTGGCTACTGAGATTAAGAAGTGAATATGATTTGGACCCAGGTGCACAATATGCATTTATTTTGTGCTGGAATATGAAGAGCTAGAGCTGTAATAATAGGTACCCATCTAATCCTCTTCCCCACAAAACCAGTTTGCATTAACAATCTTATTAGAGAGCACACGACAGGGGCTCCCTCCCCAGTGTGTGCAAATATTAATACTTAAAATTCAAACCTAATGCTAAGCCAACACTATTTCAAAAAATTATAATCAAACCCAGCACTGTTTATAACATACTTCCTCTCCTGCATATGATTTATATCTGTTTTTTTAAATTAAAACAGTGCTATATCGAGTGTACATTTTCACTGGGGATTGCTGCAAGAGAATTATGACACACTTAACACACCACTCAAAACATTATCATCAACATATTATTTATTGCCAATAAAACTTCACAAAGTGTGTTGTCTGTGAGCTATTTCACTTTCAAGTTATGTTTAGCTGAGATTTCTATAGCTCAAATCTGTCTTTTCTTTCCCTTTCAGAGCTAATTCCCATTCTGTTATAACACAGTCAAGTGTTTCACTGGATGATACATGCAGCTTCTTTGGTCTAAAACTACTGAGCAACTGCATGAAAATTACATTTGAAAAATGAAATAAATTTTTAATAAATAGTCAAAAGTATTTCAAATGAGTTTCAAATTAATTTACCAGTAAATAAGGGTGAATGTAATTTAGGAATAATTTTTAAAAGTATGTATTGCATGCGAAAACACAGCTGCACCCACAGTGGAAGGGTGTAAGGGGCAACGTGTGCCCTAAAGCATCAGTAAATCAGTCAGATCTGCACTGCCCTGTCAGCAGTCAAATATAGGAGACAAACAAATAAATACATATATATGAACACAAAAAAAGATTGGGAAACGGTCTAATCCTTTTTCTATCCTTTTATCACACGTAGGCATTCTTATTGTAATAATATTCTAAATATTCTAATATTTAGTTTAGGTCTTTCCCTTATTCTAATGAACTGCGACCGCATCCTTTGAATTGCTGTGAGGTAGGAGAAGGCTCAGACACCTCAAATGAGAACAACAACGCCAGCACGATAATGCAACAGCTCTCGCGTCCCTTCTTTAAAGAGTAACTATAATGCCAACTTAATCTAACTCTCAATTAAATTAGAATCACAATTCTGCAAAAGCTCCTCCTCCTCCTCACCCTGCAGCCCCTGTGAATCAGAATCACCGTGATCCACACCTAGAGAGGCTGTGAGTGCTACACCGAGTCACAAAGTCAAAAGACATCCCATTGTTCTGCCATTCCTACTGAGTCCGACCATCCTGTCCTGCATAAGCAGGCCCTGTGCAAAGGGTTCCTCCCGTAATTCCAGCCTCTCCAAGCTGTTCCCACACACACAGGCACTTTAGTGAACCCTCACCCGCACACCCGTAAGATTTTCAAAGCAAAGCTCTATCTTTATCACCACTCACTTTAACACCAGCTCATTTAACCACTTCCACTATTTTTTCCTGGAAAAACGGTCATGATAACACGGCTGGCAGTGGGGAAACACAACAACAAGGCTGTGTTCTGGAACGCGCTGGGTGAGACCATTTCCAAACTTTTCTGCCCTTTGAGGGATTTCCAGGCACGTTATTTTTCACAGGAAAATGATGGTATGATGAGGCCCTCGAAGGGCCAACGCACCTCGCTCCGACCCCACATCCCACTCGGACAGGTGCTTGGGGACATCCCCAGCCATTGCCCGCTCCCTACCAAAGGCCACTGGGGGAAAAACTCCAGGGGCATGCTTGGAAGTATTGCTAGGGGAGGAAAAGGGTTTGTTTTAAAGCATGCAATTACTGTTGTTATTATTACAGTTTTTGTAAAAAATCGTTTCCTCTCATTAGTGCGCCGTGGGGATGGAGACAGAAAATTAAAAGCAGCATCCCCGGTGCAGAGTGGGGTGGGATTTATTATGGAAACGTGCGACCCTGCCAAGGAGAGCGTCTCTGGGTAGCCACTTCCTCGCTTGTCCACCAGGAGAAGTGAAGGGACCTCGTGTCCCCCCCACCCAGGAGCTCTGCGTCCCCCTTCCCAGCCCCATCTCAGCCCGGGATGTTGGAGGGCAAAGCCGCGATCCCACTCTGCAACCCCAGCCTGAACCTCGGACCCCACTCCACCTTCCCGCACGCTTCAGAGCCACCCCAAATCCCCCAGTCCCACTCCCGGGAGCGGAGAGGAAGGAAGGGACACCTCCGTGGGTCAGGGACTGGGTTTCGAGAGAGAGGGGGGCACCCACTTTGCCACACTGCGCTCGCCCCTTCCTCAGGGAGGGCACGCAAGGTTTGGGGTTTTTAAAAAAAAAAAAAAAAAAGGCAAGCCCAGAGACAGGGGGCGCAGGGAATGTCTCCGGGGTGGATGATGAGGGGGGCACAGGGTGCCCGGGGAGGACACGCCGGCAGTGCCCCGCGGGGATGGAGATAACGGGATGGCTCCGGGGGCACGGAGGCCGTGGCAAGGGTGAGGGGGGCAGAGCAGACCTACGGGGGCACAGGAAACGCAGCAGGACGCGGGGCACGGGGACCACTGCAGTTGGAAGGCACTGCGGGGGTGCACCCCGACACATTGCGGGACGGGGAGTACAGGGGACACAGCAGAACGAGGACGGGATATAGAAGCCACTGTAAGACTTGAACACTTGGGGGGGGGGGGGTGGGAATACAGGAGTCATTGCAGACTGGGGGGTCAGCGAAGCCCTGCGGGCCGGGAGCGGGGGGAACAGGAGGCATTGCAGGATGGGGGTGCACGGGGAGGCACTGCAGGACTGGGGTGGGGAGGGGGTACAGGAGGCACTGCAGCCCGAGGGGCACCGGAGACATTGCTGGGGGGCGGGGGGAGACAGAAGCCCCTTGCAGAAGGGGGAACACAGAAGACCCCGCGGGGCGATGGGGCACAGGAGACGCTGCAGAAGGGGGTGCGGGGGGCACAGAAGTCCCTGCAGGCCGAGGGGGGGGGGGAGACACAAAAGTCCCTCCGGACCTAGGGGAAACAGGAGGCACTTGAAGGACGGGGGGCGGAGGGGCACAGAAGTCCCTGTGGGCCGGGGGTCACAAAAGCCCCTGGAGGACGGGGGAGGAGGGGGCACCGGCGACACTGCGAGACAGACAGAGAGAAATCCCGGCGGGGCACAGAAGCTCCTGTGGGACGGGGATCACCGGAGACACCGCGGGCCGGGAGTTGGCACAGAAGCCCCTGCGGGTGGAAGCGCAGCCGGCGCGGCGTGGGGGGAGCATCCCCGGCCGGGGCGACTGCGGGAGGGGGGTGTCTCACCTTGAACGCCACCGGGAGGGTCTTGTTGCAGCGCCAGTGCGAGGGCAGGACGGAGCAGAGGAAGTTGGGGCTGTCGGTGCGGACCAGCTCGGCGGGGTGGTCAGCGATGATCTCCACCATGGTGCGGTTATCGTGGGGGCGCAGCCGGGGCACGGCGGCCGCCGCGTCCTGCTGCTGCTGCTGCTGCTGCTGCTGCTGGGCGACCACCACCGGGCTGACCTCGCTCATCTTGCCGGGCTGCAGGCTGCTGGAGGGGGGGCTGAACCTCCGGCTGGTGCTGGGATCTACGGGAATACGCATCACAACAGCCACAAGTTAGCGAATTGGGGGGCGGGGGGGGGGGGAGCGGTAGGGGGATCTCTCGTCGAGGAGGCGTGTAGTGGGGGGTGGGGGTTGTAAAAAAAATAATAATATATATATATAGCGAAAAAAAGGGGTGAGTGAAAAAGTGAAGGGGTGAGGATAAGGGTCAAAAAAGCAAAACAGGCAAAAAATAGAAAAAAAAAAAGGAGCGGATTAAAAACACGAAGAAGAAAAAAAATCTCAGTCTGGTTTTGGTTTGTTTTGGTTTTTTTTTCTTTAAGAAAGACGGACAGGGCGGGGGGTGATGCCGGTCTGGGGGCGCCTGCAGCCCGGAGCAGCAAGGAGGCAGAGTCTGGCGGTTGGTCCGGGGCTGCCCCTCTCAGCACAGCCCGGCTGGAAACTGCATGGTCCCGGCTTCTGCCCAGCTGCAAAGCGCTGCTGCTTCTCCTCCTCCTTCCTTCCTTCCTTCTCGCACAGTCTCTCTGCTCTTTTCCCTCCTTCTAGCCACCGCTTCTTCCCTCAAGTGCTTGAGTTTCTTTCCTTTTTTCTTCCCCTCCCTCCCTGTCCTCTTTTCCTTTTCGGATTTTCCAAATATTGTCTTGGGAAAAGTAGAACTCGCTGCTGGTTCAGCTTCCTGGGCTGCTGCTGCTGGTGGCCGCCAGAATCGGAGCGTAACTCAGCCCCGGAGAGGAGAGGAGAGGAGGGGGGGGTTCAGGGGAACGTCCCGGTTTCCTCCGAGGAAATCTTCCTCCTCCGGACACACACGCACACAGACACACACACACACACACACACACAAACAAAAAAAAAAAAAAAAAAAAGGAGCAAACAAAAAGCCTCGCTGGGACAGAAGCGAGGAGCCGCTGAGTTCTCCCGCTTATTGCCTTTGGCTTCAGGAAGCGGGAGCTCGGGAAGGGGCTTGGGAAAAGTGGCTCCCCCCTCCAAAAAAAAAGGTGCTCCCGAAGCGATTTCGGCGTGGAAAGAAAGTGAATGGGGTTGTTGGGGTGAAGAGGAAAGTCACAGGGCTGATAATTAAAAGAGAGACTTTTTAGCCAGTTCCTTTGGGAGGATCAGGACTTAAGAAAAGTTAAACTTTCGGATTCCCAGGGAAAAAAAAGCGGGGAGCATAGTTGGAAAAAAACAAACAACACAACAATAAAACACCCCTCCTTAGGCTGATTTCTAAAATATGACCAAGTAAATTCTGGGAAAAGGCAGCCTCGGTGCAGCCCAGTCCTTCACATGAAGTCGCTGCTGGATCCAAGTCCGTTGAGTTGAACAGGCGAAGAAAAATCTTGCTTTTTTTTTTTTTGCCCTTGATGAACAACGGCAGCAAAAAAAAAAAAAAAATCATTAAAATGTCGCTTGGTTTGAGTTATTTTTCTTTCTAAAAAATCGGGTTAAAAATAATAATAATGAAAAAAAAAACAACCAAAAGCAACAAACTTCTTTTGGGTCCCAAGAAGTTGAGGTCGGGGAAGATGAAGGAGCCGGAAAAAAAAACCAAACCCACGCCACAGTTTTTTTGTCCTGAATGTGGTTTTTGGAGGCTGGGATTTCTAATGATTAGGTTTTTGTGGTTTATATATACAGGACTCTCTGGCTAAGGCGATCATTATGCTGATGAGAGTCAGCAGCACGTGGTGCTTCAGTCCTCAGACTTCTGCAGCCTTCAAAATAAATAAACCAATGTGCATCCCCCCCAGGAGGAGAAACTCTCACCCACGGGGAGGGGAACGGGGAAGGGGGGGAGCAGGAGACGGTCTCGGATCTCCACTTCTCTCCGGGTTTTTTCCATTAACACTTTTGGGCTTGTTTGTTTAAAAAAAAAAAAAAAAAAAAAGGCATGAAAAATCTTGTTTGCAAAAAAAATAATAGTAAGAATAATCTGGTGCCAAAGGGTTTTTTGCTAAGTCTCCGGTAGTCTAAAGCCTAAACCATTTCCTTGAATGAATGAAAGCTATAAAACCCCCTTCAGACTATTAAGGTAAAGGGAGTCTGGTTTGTTTTCTCCCTTAAAAAAAAAAGGGCAGATCTTATTAAAAACCATTTACATACCCAATGGTATGAAAGTGTCACCGCCTCCCCGCGCAGATAACAGCCTATCACAACCCGCCCTCTAATTTCTAAGGCTTTACTCCGACTTGCTACTTCCACCTTCTTGTAAAAAGTCGGCGCCGCGTGTGTGCTCCTTGCTCGCCGCCTGTGTGTGACTCGGGGCGGTGTGTGTGTGCCTGCCTGTGCTGAGGGGTGCGCGGGATGCGGCCCTTCCACGGAGCCCTTCCAAGCCCCAAGCCCGGCACCGCCGGTTTGTCCCGTCGGATCCTCCGCCAAACGCCCGGCGAAGCCACCCTGCGCTCGGGGGTGTCGGTGTGCGGGTGGGTGGTGGGAGCACCTCCGGGGCTGTTTCCACACCCGCGGAGCCTCCGCGCCCTCCTCCCGCCGTGAGGCAGCGCTGCCCCCGCGCCCTCCTACACCCCCTACGCCCCCTACGCCCAATTTCTGCCCTCCCGGGCAAACCCCGGCTGTGCCGGCGGGGAGGTGCGAGCAGAGGCGGCTCCTGCTCCGCTCGGCTCCGGAGCAGCAGAACAACCCGCAAGCTCCGCCGATCGGTCACAGGGGAGAGCTCTCGCTCCGCGCACCGCGGCTGCGGCTGCGGCCCCGCTCCGCGCCCGCCCAGCCCCGGCTCCGCGAACATCCCTCCATCCCTGCGCCCCGCGGCTTTCCCACGCCTCCCCCGGGGAGCGGCACCCCCCGACACACTGCCCCGAAGGGATCTGTGCCCTCTGCTTCTTTATTTCCTTTCTTCCCCCCACTTTTTTTTTTTTTTCTTTCCCCGGTCCAAGGTTGGAGGGGCTCTGGAAGTTTTCCACCCCGTTGTGAAAATCCGATCCTTGCGGATAACGCTGCAAAGCCCTCCTGAGCTCGCCCCGCTTCCCCCGACAACCACAGGGATCCGTTTTTCCCCAGAAGTGGCCACATGCGTCTCCAAAGCACAATTACTCATCACCTATACGGACTGGTAGATATGCAGAAGCTCTGGTTTGCTACGGTTGCGATACAGAAAATACATTTTTTCATAATTATTTTGGTAAAATGTTTATGTCCATAGATTCTTCTGGCTTTCTCCACCCCCTCCTTACCTGGCTCTAATACACCCCGTAAGAGCCATTCCAAAAGCACTAGAAAGAAGGCGAGAGATTGTTTTATAACCAAATGCTATATAAGCCTGACAATCATGATTTATTTCATTTCAAACTAGAAGATACGTTTCCACTTTTAATTAGTCACACCAAAAATGTTACAGTTACCTGTCTTCCTACTAAAATAAAATAAAAAGTTAATTAGGATAAACTAAACTAAGCCATTGGAAGCTACCAGTTTAAGTCACTTAAAATAGACCAGGGTTATTTATAATGTCGAAATAAAATTTTCCACTGAACGCCCTAACAAAGTTTCAGGTATCTGGCACAGCTGATTTTCAGTCTCTGTGCAAAAATATCTTTCTGTTGAACATTTACATGTTTAACAGGAACTTACTACAGCCTGGAACAGATCACAGCTCAGAGCTCTAGGATTTTATTTAAATGGTTATGGACAAATTAATAAAAGTACCAGTAATGTTTATGGACCTACATAAAAGCTGGATGGCATTTTTCAGAAGAAGTCATTCATGTTATGATATATATAATCTGGAACATTGGCTTGGATTTGGCTGAAATGGAGAGCAACCCTGCTGTTCGACTTTCCTCGGGTTTTATTTCAGAACTTCTCGGAATTTTAGCACCAGTTGCAAAATGGGTCATATTTTAAGATCTCAGAGAATTGTAGGAGGTTGGTGAAAAAAATGTGCTTGCGCTGCAAGTTACGTCTTCACAAACACCTTCAGATCCACTTTACGAAATCAGATTTTCATTAGTACGGCTGCCCTTGCTGCAATTTAAACTTTCTTTTAGCTTTTTCACTTTTAACTGTGTTATGAATACAGCCATAATTAGATTGTTTTTGGACAAAAAGATAATATTTTAAAGAGCACTGAGTTTGTTTACCATCACATTTATAAAGCGCGGGCCCAGCACGCACCAGTTGTAAGCACTGCATGCTCAGATGAAAAATAATTATCAGATATGAAACATTCTAACCTGGATGACGTTCCCTAAATAAATAGTTTCGATGCCAGCGTGGTGGGCTGGAATGTGCTGGAAATATGAGGAATACCGAATTTATTTTGAGCCTTTCTATGTATGCAAATAGCCTTTGTGAAATGAGAATAAATGAATGGGTTCACTGGGTTTGTTATTGTATTGGATATTTTTAGCCAGAGCGACTACAGCAATGTCAGCAATTATTACTATAGTGAAGGAATTGCCAATATTCTCCTTTCCAACATCTACCTTCCCAAAGTTTTTTATTCACTCGTGAAGAGCGCATCGAGCCAAAATATGTGAACTTAAGTAAACTTAATGCTAGAGCAGGTTTTGCCCAAGTTTCCATTCATTTCAGTAGGGGCGAGATAAGCTCCAGTGTCTCTTGGCAGTGCTTTACTTTCACTTTGGTTGGAAGTTGACTGTTTGCCCAGCTATTCTTTGCTTTTTCTTAAGTATGACAAATAGTAATTCTAGATTAGCACGTTACTCGGTCTGCTAAGTAGGCGTGTGGTAATGAGCTCTGTAACTACAGCATTCTTACTCAGACTATGGACTACTACGCTTTGTTTAACTACTGTGTCCCTGCCCCGTTGATTTACAGCCCAGATAAAAGAAGTTTGTGTCCTGAAATCAGTCAAAAGCATTTAATATTTCAGCACCATGCACAGGTTTTTAGTGTTTATAGTGCCCAATACAAACAGAAGCATAAAGGTTTGAAAGACAGGCTAGAAAATGATTACATTAAGAAAAAAATCAATTTTGAGAATACTACTTTTTCTATGAGTATTTTCAGTAGGAAGTGAGGACTGAGAGCTTTGACAGTGTTCTGTCTCAGGATTTGATCTGAATGCTCTGGGATCTCAGACAAGACTTCTAGCAAGTTTTCCTTCAGTATAAAATAAGGTATTAACTATGACCATATACCTTTTGAGATGGAAAAATTTGTGTTGAATTCTTAGAAGTCCAAAGATGAGCAGGGCTCAGCATTCAGTAATACCAGGAAAAAAAAATGCTTGAATTCTGAAAGCTGGTAGGAAACCTGCTGTGTCACTGCTGAAAAGCTGTCAGCTTTTCCACGGCACGCAGGGAAACACACTCTACACAAGCAAAAAAGTAAACACTTACTGCCTCTGAATTTTTCCTAAATGATGTATTTTCTGCTTCTCTAATAAGCAGGGACTTCCAGCCTAGGTGTGGGTCCTACCGTGGAGTTCTCCCATTTCCCTCCCTGTCTGCAGCCTCTTATGCCCCATTGG